TCTGCTAGCTGAAGACGGGGTTTCACGCGTCCGCCGACACGTTTCAGGGGAGCCCACGACCCACCCACCGTACCCATCCGCTCTGCTAGCTAGAGACGGGTCCCGCGTTCCACCAGCCGGGTCAGGGGAGCCCACGACCCACCCACTCCTACCCATCCGATCTGCTAGCTGCGACGGGTCCACGAGCCGTCCCACCCGCACGGTTCAGGGAGCCCCACGACCCACAACCACCCTACCCCATCCCCGATCTGCTAGCTGCGACGGGTTCCACGCGTCCGCCGCCGGTCAGGGAGCCCCACGACCCACCCCACCGTCCCCATCCGATCTGCTAGCTGAGGCGGGCACGCGTCCGCCGCGGTCAGGGTTTTGCATTTATGAGGTGTCCGGCCCGGCGGCAGGCACTCGACCCTGGTGACGTCACTCGGTCACCCCCTCAGCTCCCCGCGCGGTCGGTTGACGTAATTCAGTCATCGCTTAGCACCCCATGCCATATGGTGACGTCATGAGTCATTCCTGAGCACCCCGAGTCTCTGACTGGAAGTTCTGAAGCAAATAGTTTGGTTTAAAGAAGAAATGCCTGGAAACCGTTCGTTGCTGCTGCTTTGTATAATTTTGTTAACATTTATTTCTTACATATAGATATGTATTGAGCTGCTCATTTTTATACGGATGACCATACATGACCACACAAGAGGGAGTAGGTGTTGTAGGATTTTGAATTTGGAACATGCGAGCGTTGAGGTCTAACATTTTCATTCACAGCCCCGAATTGAAGATGCTTTCAAGCCTAAATCCAAAGCTGTGATGCATTGCAGGTGCAGTCACACCGCAGTGCTCGTGCATTTCCCGTTTGCATGATCGAGAAGACTGGGTGGATACCACCTCAAGCGGGATTCGTTTCATCTTCTCGTGGTTAATTGCATGTAGTAGTTTTGGTATGTTGTTCTTTTGTTCTGTGGCAATGTAAATGTCCTTGCATTGTGCCTTTGCACGATTTATTGAGCTATCTCACCGATAATGTCAAAAACCTTTGTTTAATTCTACGTTGTTAGGAAGGTGTTACTGCCAAGTAGGCGCTGAAGCTAATCAACAGCTAGTGCATCGCACTGCTTAAGGCGATGACGGAGATTACTATTCAATTTTAAGCATTCATTCATTTCATCATTTTCTCCTTGATTTTAATTCTTTTTTATCTCTCTTTTAATTCATTCGCCATTTGAACGAGCATTTCATAATGTAAACGTTCTATGCGACTGCACCACCAGTAACGTACCGAGCTTTGGCTCCGGCACAAATCCTCCGCCAGGCGGCATGGCACGGCTCCGTTGTAAGGGACTGGAAACATGGAAACACTGTGATCTGGGGAACAACTGGGTCCTATTAACACGGGCTTAGACGCTAGCAACATATATCGGTATAAATGAGCCTGAGAATGCGCTGTGGTTGACAAGACGATAACTGGAGGGTTGAATATTCTGGAGCTCAGAAGTTTGTAGAGGAGCATCTCCTTCTACGTCACATTGTAACTGGCCCCATGCCTAGCTTGATCCAGCGTGCTCTTTTCGGGATGCAAAGCTTCTTTTCTCACTCATGTCCTCGCATACGCTTCTTGCTCACACAAATACTGCGCAATTGCATTAAGTAGATATAACTTTATATAAATATATGTGTAGTAATATATATATATATATATATATATATATATATATATATATATATATATATATATATATATGTACGCATATATATACTTATATCTAAATTCCTCACAAAAATGCTGCGTAATTGCGTTAAGATTATAGAATCATATATATATATATATATATATATATATATATATATATATATATATATATATAATAAAAAAAACACACCAGTCGGGCTACCGCTACTCACAGCTCCTGGCGCACGCCTTCCTCGTGCACGCCCAGCCACCATTTAAGCAGACGCAGCTGTTGCACGACGCCACACCGGTCTCATTGCCAGTGCAGTAGGCCGTGATGGCTGAAACAACAGGCATCTTATCACTGGGGTTACCGGGCCATAACACGCTCCCGCCATGGGGTCACCGAGCCATGTCACGCCCCGCCATGGGGTTACCGAGCCATGTCACGCTCCCGCCATGGAGTGCATGCAAGCATTCCGTTTGCCGTGTTGTCAAGGTAGCATACTCAGCACTAATCGTGGCTCCTATGTCAGGGGCTGGTGGATTAGTTTCCACATTGCGTTTAAGTGAGTTTCGTTTCATCTCCTGGTGTATGCTAAGAAGGTGCACGCGGCCAGTTTTGCCTTTCTTATGAGTAAGTTTGACCGCTCCCCAAGCGTATATCGGGCGTGTCAGTTTATCAGTTTGGTGCGAACGGGATATGAAATTTTTAGATCCTCGGATTCCCTTCCTGTCATTACTCGGAATTGTGGATTCATTGAAGGCAGTGGTACCATGGAATTTGGAGAATGTATTGAATGGTTATGTGTGTTGCACCACAGTTATCTCATGGTGGTGTATTCAACACCTTTCATGCCAGAAACTTGTATCCTGAGGGTAAACCAAAACATTTCATTTTTTACTCGAACATATGCATGCTTTTTTAAACTAACACCATTTGTTCGTATTACAGGAGAATCTGAAATGCGTAACGTATGTAAACTACGAAATTTAGACGGAACTCGTATGTGAACTTTATAATAACCACACGTTTGGTGGTGGGCATGCCTCTAGCACCATTCCAGTTCAGTGGATCAGATCAGTTTTTCTCCCATGGTAATCCGATGCCTGCTGCATGGTAGATTCGAGTGACGTCGCGAGGCGCCACCGGCATGATGTCATCGACGCCTTAGAGAAAACCAGAGTGACGTCATACTCCCCGTTCCTAGCGAACAGCAAAATAATACTCACAGACTGCATGTGGATGCGATTACTAGCAGACCCTAACCAAAATACCAGCGTGCTGCTCCTAGAGGCGAAGCGAGACGGGATGAAAAGGCTGAAGATCTAACTGTTCTGGCTTGGCTCACCTCTGGTTGGGAAGGGTAGGTTGGTGAAGGGGGGTGCTAGAAGGCCGTGGGCGGGTTAGACGGTACAAATGTCCCTCTCAGTTGGCTTCCCCTGGCTTGACTCGTAGTTATTGCATGTGGTCACCGCTTCCCGCCCCGCCATCACACGGCGTTCTGCACCTTCAGTCGTTTGCATAGGGGTTTCAAATGAAAGAGCAGTGTAACCTAAATGCTACATAGCAACAAGATCAGGATAAGGACAATAAAGCAGCCTTCAGTGCCACAGAAGACCACCTTGTATTTACGTTTGCCACGCAAAGGTAAGTACAAAATATAAAAACCAATGCATCAAACAGTTCGCACGTCGTGTAAGCGTTTCAGCCCGCGTGATGTAATTTCGGACTACAGCTACATCGGTAGCCAGACAACATCAGTAGCCACCTTGACAGTGTTGTAAGTACTGCCTGTTAACAAAACTTCTCTCGAAATGCCCCGCTTAAAAAATTGTGTTACCATGATAAAAAGCCTATAGATTGGCTACATAGTATCCAAATAATATTTCTTGGCTGATAATTCCTACGTTATGAGGTGTAAGAAATCATGCAGCCAAGAAATTTAAAAAATGATATTGATCATTGCTGGGGTGTTATGGTGTTATAGCAAACAGCCTGAGCACTCGCATATCACAACTTTTCTACTTTCGACGGATTTAACGAGAGCATTTGCCTTGCGTGGATTCCCGCAATCAGCGCTAAGCAGCGCCTGCTAGATAAGCCTGACCCCTCACTCCGATCGGTGATTTGAGGCCAAGGGCAGAATTTTGCGGCAACAGCTAACGTACCGCAACGATCCACAGAGTTCGTCCTGCTCTCGACGTCGCCTGACCTTTAGCGCGGCCGCTGCAAAGAGCTGCAGGCCAACCAGTCGAGGACAAATGGCAAGCGCCTTATAACGCCATCTCGCCGCAGATGGGTGAACTTGAGGGCAGGCGCCCCGGCCACGCACGTGCCAGGGTGGGTTGGGCAAGGGTCCGTACTTCCAAGCGCATAGTGAACTCAGAACTGTGCGGTAAGTGAGGGAATAGTTTGAGAAAACACCCTTTAATCATAGCAAGAATGAAATGGATATTTTGATGTCGCAATCTTGCCCTTTTCAGTTCACAATAAGGAATGTCCAATTCATAGCCAAATGATGACCAGTTGATATTGAAATTACTTCAAAAGAAATTTCCCTGCAAATGTTTAAGCACAATTAATTCGTGTGGTACATGTAAGCACATCAGGGTACATGTACATGTAGTACATGTGGCTTACATGTAGTTAACACGCATGTGTAGTACATGTAAGCACATTTACACTTCAACGGCGGTGTCGCCTGACGCTATTTCTGTGTTTGGGAAAGCAGCTAGCTGTCGAGGTCCCAGCATCATAGAGGAAGGTAAAATGCTTGCCCTGCATTTAATATCCTTCCATGTGCTGAAAGGCTTAAACAGCTTAGATTTCTAGCGTTGCTAACTGACAAGATAAACTAACTTCGTAGTTCTCACTTGAATATCTCTGCATTATGAATGCCAACCAACAACTACCAAATTGAGTGTGTTTTCCTCTTCAGCTTGATTCAAAAGACTTGGGCCCCAATAACAGCATATTTCTAGAACACGCGTCTAGCACACCTGTCGCCTTTACTGTTGCTGCCAGTTCAATAACCTTTTGCACTGCTGATCTGAAGGGTCCATGCACATTCTGATCGCCTGGATTTTGCCAATGACGAGCTAAATCCATCTCAATTTCTAAAAACACCGATTTTTCGGTTCCTGCGTTCAGAACATTTGTAGACTAGCATAACTATCATAAAGTGAAGCTTTCACCGATTTGCTGATGACCAGCCTGTTTTAAATCTAGGTAAATCCTTTGAGGACAGCATGGCGAATTTTGGCGTTTGCAAAGCACTTTATCATTCAACGGCTTATGACAATTGTCCATCGTGGGGCTGTGCAGCTGTTTGCCGAGTCGCTAATTTCAACTGTTTTATACATTTCCTTGACATCATACGACGCATTGGTATAAGGCCAGGGACGGGAAATAGTTTTGTCCAGCCTTGGCGCGCTGGATAACACCGCCGAGCTGTGGGATTTGTGTGTGCTTCACATCGCGCCCGGTGGGGTCAAGTCGCGCTAAAACGGCGCATTCAAACTCCACACAATCTCACGGTGAAATATAAGAGCTACTTGCCATCAGTTTTAGATTTGCATGTTTTGCAGTCAGTCGTAAAAAACGCATTTAAATTGATGCATATTTATCGCATTCCAGGCGGCACATGCAAACAAGTCGCAGGTGTCTAGGTAAATCGCAAATTTTGAACTAAATTCAACACGCCATAGATGTTCGTCTTATATGTGCTCTATTCCGACATTAGCATGTTTGTTTCATTCTGAACTGAATGACAAGACCTCGCGAAAATAGCTTGGCATTATCACTGATTACTTACGTCGGCATTTCTTCGCCACGCAGTACGGTCCGGCCCTCGGGCAGTCTTTATCACTGTAGCATACTATTAATTTCCAGCCTGTGAACAGATCGGAGGCAGGACGGTTATCTCGATTCGTTGGTAAAAGGCTACAATGTATTCCCGAAGCTTGGATATCACCGGTCTTGAACTATGCTGGGAGAACAACACATCAAAGCAAGAGAACGAACAAAACCATTGGTCGGACGCACCTGATGCTGAAAGCGTTATTGTACTGTTAGACACCGTTATACTGCACTGTTACAATGTTATAACATTCTCATCGTGCACTGTTTTGCTGTTATGACGCTGTAATACTGTCCTGTTATGTTGTTATGACACTGTTGTACTGTACTGTTAAACGGTTATAGCATTATTATGTTCCACTGTTATGCTGTTAGAACACTGTTGCACCGTATACCACACTATTGTACTGTTAAGCTAATCTCTGTTCAGTCAGCCGGCAAAAAATCCGAAACGGAAAGACGGTACATCGAAACTGCCGATTTCTGACACATAGAACATGGCCGTTCGTACTGGTGTTGGCAACCAACATCCATCCATAGAGGTGTCCAGTACATCACACATGCAGGTGTGCCATCTAGTTACGAAGTTAGAGCACAACAGCGATAGGTTGCAATGACAGTGATCCTGAACGCTGCAACAAGTAGCAACAGCAACGAGCCCGCCTATATAAAATGTATCACAAAATTAATCTACTTCATCTGTTATGTATTCGCACATACTTATTTTGATTTCCTACAGATGTGGGAGGTTCCCGCCGGCGCATGTAGTTACATTGGTTATAATTAACATACATCAGGAATTGTCAAAAATAGATACAACAGCATGAACGATTTTACGATAGGGAACCATACAGATCAAGAAAGAATCGCAACTGATTTCAGAGCGAAACCACTGCAAGTCAGGTGTAGCCTGCTGCAGCATTCCAATAACAACGACCACCGTAACCAACCGCTGATGCGTGCTGGCTTCATGACCACAGGACAACGCTAACTGGAGGCGCGTGCGAAACCCTCCCGCACAGCAACACAGCGCCGTCCAAAGCGTTACCTCCTGCGGTGGTTAAGTCGCACAGAGCGCTGAGGATCACGGAAATGATGACGAGCCTGGACAAAACGCCGGCAGACCGAGTGATGCTGATTTTGGAGAGCATGGCTGCGGTGTGCCCTTGCCCGACGCTGCGGCGTTTGTGGCTGGTACGTCTGCACGACGGCTCCACCGTCACATTTTGTGGTGACGGGGCGCCAGCCTCTAAAAGTCACGGCGCCTGATGGACACGGTGGAGGACACACGACCCCGGACCCGCCCACTCTCTGACGCGGCCGTGGCGTGGCAGGTCCGCCGTCGGCTCCCAGACACGGCTCGGGCTGTGTGCTCTGGGCCTTGCTACACGTGGCGCAGTACGTCCGCCGTCGGCTCCCAGACAAGGCTCGGGCTGTGTACTCTGGGCCTTGCTACACGTGGCGCAGTACGTCCGCCGTCGGCTCCCAGACACGGCTCGGGCTGTGTGCTCTGGGCCTCGCCACACGTGGCGCAGCACGTCCGCCGTCGGCTCCCAGACACGGCTCGGACTGTGCGCTCTGGGCCTCGCCACACGTGGCGCAGTACGTCCGCCTTCGGCTCCCAGACACGGCTCGGACTGTGCGATCTGGGCCTCGCCACACGTGGCGCAGCACGTCCGCCGCCGGCTCCCAGACACGGCTCGGGCTGTGTGCTCTGGGCCTCGTCACACGTGGCGCAGCACGTCCGCCGTCGGCTCCCAGAAACGGCTCGGGCTGTGTGCTCTGGGCCTCGGCATATGAAAAAGCAACGTGCAGTTGGCGTTTTAGTTGAATGGGTCCACCTGCACAATTATCGCCTAATGGGACAGGAAAGCTGACATTGACGGTGGATTTTCGGAGGAGGCTTTGACATTTTCTGGCATTGTTTGACGTACGACAGAGTGGAATCGATATAATGACAAAGACCAGACGTGGATATTTTAGTGGATGCTAGTAAATAATACGAAGCACTGTATAAAAAATTATGCAATGCATACCAGACAACACTCAGCTCTCCGGAAGCCTAGGCTTATGCGCTGTGGGGAATATCTTGTTTTTCAGTTTGACGACTATTTTTCCAGTTTGGCGACCAAGGCGGCAAATGAAATGGCTGTTTTAACGTGACAATAACAGATGAAACATTTAAAACCATTTTAACAATTTGCTCTGAACGTGCCCAGGAATTCCAATCTATGTTTCACGTCAGATTTCGAGGCATGGTGAAACGCATCAACTAATAATGACTTAATAAATCGTAAAACTTAAGAGTATATAAAAAAGACGGCACCAATGGCCTTATTCTTTGTAAGACAATAGATAGACAGATGCATTGATATTTCTGGCACAAGCCTTTTTTGAAACGCATATCAGTGGTGAATTCCAAATTACTGCCCATCCTACTAAATTTTTCAGTTTCGTTTAAACAGAGAACCACAGCTTTTACAGGTCACCAAAATTCACGGCATTAAACGAGGGGCAATTGCCAGCCATTACTATGACACGGTGCATATGTAACCAAGAATTAAAATACACGAAATATATTTGTACATGCAAATGAACTTAAGTAAACAGGCATCACGCATAGCACATCATTCATGCATGCAAGCGATTTCAAGTAAAAGATATTAAGTAACCGGGCATCGCACATCACACATCACTTAAACGCACAGACGATTTCAATTAAAAAGACATCCAAGCGTTAAAAGCTGCCAATCTGCAGGATGTGATCGGTGACAACAATGAAAGTTTTTGAAAACTATTTGATGACAAAGGTGCAGAAATGGCAACAAAATACAACAAATTGAGTTTTCAACAACAAATTGAGATTTTAATTAAAAGACATCCCAGTGTTAAAAGCTGCCAATCTGCAGGATGTGATCGGTGACAACAACGAAAGTTTTTGAAAACTATTTGGTGACAAAGGTGCAGAAATGGTGACAAATTACATATATTACATAGTCATATTACAACAGACCATCCCAGTAAGACGACACTCAAAGCATAGCTTTGGTCTGTACTGGTCAACGCTTGCAGCGTAAGCTTGTGTAGAGCACAAGTCAAAGCATTTAGGTTTCGCTGCATGAGAAAGTTGAGCCAGAACATGTTGCCATGCTGCCACGTTGCCATAAAAGCTTAATTAAGATCGTTTTTGGCAGGTGACACAAATATGCTACAAACTGTATGGCATCGGCGCTAACGTCACAGATCACTGGTGACGCAATGCTTTTCCAATGACCCTCAGATCGATGCTTTTCACTGATCTTTCAGCCAAGATTCACTTCTTGTACTAAACGACTTAAAATACCAAATAACTAACGTTATTACTAGTCGTAAGGATCGTGGCTGGCCTCAGCACCTTGCGACGAACGTGACCTGCCTGCTGCGCAGCGTTCTACATCATCTTGTCATTTGAGACCGAGGACTTCCGGGACGCTCGTAACTCGGCTGTGAATCGAGTTCTTTGCAAGGCTGTAAGCCACCGTTGGCTGTGTTTGCGTCTTGACAAACTCACTGCCTTGAGCTACACGACTAATGGCCAGTTTTTAAGGCAAAGTGGAGGAGCGTGTTGTTATGGATGGATTGAACCCTGAGAGCGCTATTTCTCCAGCACTGGTATTGCATCAGTATGTTGCGAGATAGTGCATGGGGTTTTTCACGCGCCATTTATGGTTGTGATATGGCCGCTGATCAAATATATTTTCGCCTTTCTTTCGTACATGCGACGCCTTAGGTTTAAAGCGATCCGACGCGTTCATTGGTCTTAAGCCTACCACGCCGGCCACTTACGCCCTGTGCCCTAACCACCGGGACTTTTGGCATGGTTAGCGAATGATATTTTAGTGGAATTGGCCTTTCCGAAACCAACATATTCATGGTCTTTATGGCTCACTTCACTCTATTTATCTTTGTTTTGTGTGGTTTAAGGCATTTATAGCTATACTGTGACGTTTTCTAATAGATCCGGCTTCGGGTGACAGTTAAAGTCGTTCCAAAGTTCAACGGTGACAGAACAGACGCTTTCTCACACCCGCAGGCATCGCGCATGACGTGGCAGGCATCACTCATGCATGAAAACGATTTTAGGCTAGCACGTATTAACCATCAAGACACTTATCAAATTCGCATAATCGGCCATGATGAGCTCTGTACATGGAAGTCTGGTCGCCGACTACTTAAAACGATAGCCATTTTTTTCTGTCTGCATGGTCCTGTGCCTTGTAAATGACTTTGAAGATCATATAGATATAGATTATAGGGAACCTATTCTTATAAAAAGTCGGCGACTAGATCTTAACGGACAAGGCCCACCATAGCTGAAAATGCGAGTGTGATTATTGCCTTGATGGGTAATGCGTGCCGGCATAAAATCGCTTTCATGTATCAGTGATGCCTGACACGTGATGAGCGATGTCGGTTTAATTGAAATAGTTTACATGCATGAGTTACTCGTGATGCGTAATGCCTGGTTACTTGGAATCGTTTACCTCAAATCGCCTGCACCCGTTAATGCAAATAAAATCGTTGCACGTGAATAATGCGTTACGCTTGACGCCTATTTATTTGAATTCATTTGAATCTACACGTATATGTCGTATATTTTAGTCCTTAGTTAGATATGCTCTATGTCATAGCAATGGATTGAAACTGCTTCTTGTTAAATCTCCTAAATGTTGGTGATCTGTAAAAACTGTGGCTGATCGTCGAAAGCCTGAAAAATTCAGTAGGATCGGCAGGCAACTTTGAACTTATCGTTGATTTTCGTTCCGACAAACGCATGTGGCCGTAATATCAACAGATCTACCTCTCCATTCTCCTGGCTATCCTACGAGGAATAAGGCTATTACTACTGATTTTTTCAGATACATCATGTTCCTCGCAAACGCACTCGACAACTCGCGTGATTTTAAAACATCATGTAACGCGGACCACGGATTCGCTACACCAGTTGCCAACTAATTACCCAAGCCTGATGGCGCGGTGCTCCCGGGCCGTGGATTCACATATTGCCACTACCATGTTAACACACCCGGCTCTCTACCATATGAGCTGCGGAAACTGGTTGTGATGATGGAGGACCCCCCAGCTCCGCTCAGTCCGATCATTTAGGTGTTCTGTTCTCACCTATCAAGATCGCCCGGAGTTATGCTTGGATGAAAGGGTCGTGATGCATGACAGTCACGTCACGCATTTTATTTCGGGACAGTGATGCCATGAAATAACGTAAGCTATGTTCGAAGCACATGACATTGGTATTTCCTTCTCGTGCGATGAAAAATCCCCATAACATCACTTTTGAGAATAGCTTTGGGAGCCATTGTATGGGAATGTTCAGAAACATAACAGTACAAACGAAAACGGATTTCACGCCTTGTCCATAACGCACTGGAATGCAAGTCAGACGAGCATACGCGTCTTGAATCGCAAATACATGTAATGAACAGTATGAATTATATGGCTTGCTATCTAAAGGATCTCATAGGAAATGTATGTCAGGTTGCCACAATTGGAATCTGAAAGCCCTTTTTCTAAACACTGGTTTCATTTTCAAGGGCGGATGTGCGTGCTACACGAGATACACGCAATGCTGCACGAGATGTGCGTTTGCTGATAAAACTTTTTCGTAAGAACACACTTGGTCACTATGTCCTTGCCTGTGTATATTAGAATGCATACACCGGTCGATGACATCAAAAGCATTATGTGGGACGTTCGTTGAATTAAGCCCGCGTTGCAAATGTCATTTGGTGACAGACAGTGACCTTTCAGCTTGATATTGCGCAAGCCGCAGAATGACAGATTCTCCACCGTAGTCTACGCGGATCTACGTTTGAGGACACCCTGCAGCATGCGCGCCATCTACAGGCATCCTCGAGTGGACCTGCGAGGGCTTCCAACATCCGGTCGGTCCAGTGGGTCTGTGAGCGCCCCTACCATCCGGTCGATCAAGTAAGCCTGTGAGGGTCCCCACCACCCGGTCGGTCCAGTGAGCCTGTGAGGGCCTCCATCATCCGGTCGGTCGTGTGAGCCTACAAGGGCTCTCACCATCCGGTAGTTTAAAAAGGCCTGCGACAGCCCCAACATCCGGTCGGTTTAGTGGGTCTGTGAGGGCCTCCACCATTCGGTCGGCCAAGTAAGCCTGTG